TCTTATACATGCCGACTGAGTACAATCCTTCTGGTCTATTATTTTAACGTAAAAAATACCAAATATTTAACGCATCAATGGCAACAACAGTTATTCAAAATATCAAAATTAAACATGCTCTCACACTAACCCGCACAATCCCAGACGTGTTTGCATGAATTCTTCCAGAGTGTCTTCTCCTTTTGCAACCGGAATCGAAATTCCCAAATAATTCCCGGCCATTTGGCGCATTAGCTTGATTAAATCGTCGCGTACCTCACACGCCAGCAAGTGCTAAAAAAAAATTTGCATTTGGGTAATAATTTATAAAGCACAAACAATGCATAAGATTGAAGAGAGGTGTTGGTCCGAGACAAAAGTTGAAAAAAAAAAACTATCTCAGTAAATCCAGATTTCAAAAATTACACCAAAGATCGAAGAATTTTTGCAAAATTCTTCAACTTCTCATATAACTCAATCATCAGAAATCAGTAATGCTAGCTATAATAATGTTACAGTTACGTAATACGTAGTAATTTTCGCTGAAAACTAGAAATTTGAACAGAGAGAGAAAAAGAAACTAACCCGACGACGCTGTTCACCCATTTCCAGGATAAATCCACCTGGATATTCTTGCATCTAAACATATTTTAATACTTTTCAAATAGACTTATTATTAGCACACAATATGCACATTCGATAAATTTTTTTAAATAACGCCTCCTTGCGAACATACAAGAAATTATTTCCGCAAGTGCGAAACTCGGCAGAAAAACCTTTCAAAATGCTTCTCCCTGAAAGGTAATCTTTGCCCAGCAAAAAAACGAATTTCACGGTCACCGCAGTAAGCTGACCACCACCCGATGCAGCATTGATCAAAGCAAGTATCAAAGTAAAAAAAATAATTGGCCAACGTACGGGCTGCCCGTGCGAAGATGCATTTTTCCATAGTTCCCCGCAACTTTTTGTCGCTAACGGCACGGTTTTTCCGGCAGATGCTTCTAGCTAAAAGAATTTCAGACTGGCTGCCAGGACTGTCAGGAAACCCCTTCAAAATTCCAGTTTTCTAGCTTCTCACGCTCTCGAGTTAGCTATTTACCCGAAAGAAACCTTCACGGGCCCATACGTAGGTACCACGCTTACCCGTGGGCAGGGTTTGAGCTCGTTAATACCCGCTTGGACGAGGAACACCCCTTAAGATTCCAGCGTCCTAGGTTCTCAGATCCCCAAGTTATGAAATTACCCGTGAAAAACTTTGGCGGGCCCGTACGCGGGTACTACGAGGGTAGTGGCGCCCATTGTGGGGATTAGAGCCCGCACGTTTATGTAGATTAAGTTCCCAAAGTTTCAGGCTTGCAGCTTTTATAGGTCCTGAGATGAAAAATCGGGACAGACGCACACACAGACAACCCCTCGTCAATATGCGTTTTTGCACTGAATAACGCATAAAAAGTTGCCAGCCGCATAAATGGAGAACAATATGCTGTGAATTAACTCCCCTCTTGCTGCATTCTCTTGTGTCTGTTCATTAACTTTATAACTTTCTAAAACAGGCTAGAGAAGACTGTTGAGTACATTTCCTACTCAACAATCTTCCCTGGCCTATTTCAGTTTTCTCCCCCTTCGTACACCGATCTGCTGACGTCGCCCGGACCGTTTTTTAATTTGTTTGTGTTTTAATTTCTGACCCTCATTACGTCGGCCAATGTATGCATCCCTCCGGACGGGCTATTTATAGTTTCCATTAATATGATCTTGGCAAGGCCTCCACGGCCCGTACTATTCCTCACTGCTGAATGCTTTCATTGATCAATGAAAGCAATCAGCAATATTCATAGGCCTATCCAGGGCGGCTCTCTGAGGTGAGGTGATGCTTCTGAGAGAGGGAGGTGGGTGGAGGGGTGGGCGGGTGGAGCGAGGTGCGAAAGAGTTTTCTTCAGTTTTTCTTCAGCTTTAGCAATGCTACCTGTTTGTTTATATGAAATAGGAAAATATTTTAAAATTGGAAGACAAAAAAGCAAATAATAGTAAGAAATTAGTAACAATTGTAAAATATCTTAGCAAAATTTTTATAATAGTAAGAAATGTTTCGGTCCTATTGCCATTGCCAATGGCAGATTTCTCTCTTTCCCAATTCCCCCTCATCCCTTCGTTCCAAGCGTCCACTAATGGTAATATTTCAGAAAAACGATCGAAAATCATGTAACAGTAGCAGCAGTCAAGAAGCTGATATTCAAAAAAAAAAAGATCACACCTTGACAATTGACTTGATTCGTATGTACTTGTAAGCAGCAATCACTTCGCAATTGCTGTTTAACCTCTGAAGCGAATGTGCTGTTACCCGCAGCTTTACTGGTATACGACGATCCGACCAATCATGCTTGTAACCAGAGAAATCCTGAAATTTCTAGCAAACTGATAAATGCTTCTGTAATTTTATATTTTTCAATCGCCCGTTGTTTAAGCATCAAATTTCTTTTCGTTGTCAACGCAACTAATATCTTTTATATTTTTTAACATTTCAAACTTTTCACAGCCATGTAAAACCGGAAAGACATTTGAGATTTTCCAAAGCACCTTGCGCAGCTTAGGGATGAAAAACAGACCGAACAACAGCTGATGCACATACTGGCTCGCTTATCTGGGTATCTGAATTAGCACTCACTACTTCCCCACAACTGACAATATTCGACTGTGTCCGTTTCATCGGCTGGCCTACAGCGCCAAACAAACATCCATAGTCTACATTTTTCAAAAATTTCCAAAACACTTCTAATGTACTTTTAACACTACCTAGACACCATTCAATAACCTACTTTGTCCATCTGTTTTTATGCGCTTTTTGCATTTATGCAACGCAAAAATGCATACTGTCCAGGGGTTGCCTTTTTGTATCTGAGTGTGCATCTATATCGATTTTTCATTTCGAGACCTGCAAAATCTACGGGGCTGAGACTTTGGGAACTTAATCTACATGCACGTATGGGCTCCCATTCCCAAAACGGGCGCTACTATTTACGTAGTTCTCAAGTATGGGCCCGTCAAAATTTTTGACAGGCAACTTGCTAACTCGAGAACCAGAAAAGCTAGAAAGCTGAAATTTTAAGGGCATGTTTTCTTGCAGTCCTAGTAGCCAATCCCAATTCCCTCTTAGCTAGGAGCATTTGCCGGGAAAAAGCAGTGTCGTTGGCGACAAAAACCTGCGGAGAACTATGCAAAAAACGCATCTTCGCACCGGCAGTTGGGGCTCAGATCAATAACTTTTTGTTAAACTCGTCCAATTTTCATCCAGGTTTTTCATCCAGGCGTACATTATCTTAGTAATAACATTTTCCGTACCACATCAGTCTCACGAAAAAAAAAACACAACTGCTGAAAAACGTCTGATTAAAAAAGCTTCTAAGAAACCAAGTTTCATTTTACCACTTCATCATCAATTCCTTCTACCATAATTATCACTTTTTCGATAAGCCCTCTTTGCAACACAACAATATTTCGTCACTCAAAGCCTTGCCTGATCACAACTGACAAAAAATAACGTTAAAACAGGGGAAGAAAATTCTACAAACCATGAAATCTGGTTTTGCGTCCACAAATTTATGCATATGCAACAGCGCTTCAGACAAAATTTCATGGGTATAATCCGACGAGAACCGCATCGTATCATTCTTTCGTTTGGAACGTATGTGGATCACGAATTCATCCTGGCCTTGTGGTGGTCGTGGTGATGGCTTGATCGAGACAAATTCGTCGTACAACCACTACACAAAAAAAGATGAGTTTAAGCATTATAAAAAAATCATGAGTTCAAGCACTATAAAAAAATCATGAGTTCAAGCACTATAAAAAAATCATGAGTTCAAGCACTATAAAAAAATCATGAATCCAACACTGTGAAGTCTAAAAATCATTAGAAATAGCTCACAAATGGTTCTTCTCCCAGAAAGTATGGTAATAACTTTTTAGCTTCTACACTTACGCAATTCAAATTCACAGAGCACCGAAATCGAACATTCCAGGTGCAGCTGCAACCTTTGAGACAAGGTGATGATGCTCAAAGCACGCTAAAGATATCTCAGAACGACTAAAGCCCTGTGAAGCATTACTACAACGTCAAACAAGTAAAATGCTTACAAGGCGTTGGATGTCAAAACTCGCAACAGGTCAACCACTAGGCCATGAAGTTTTGGTCAAGAAATTGTCAAAATTTGTCAACTGCATAGATAGAGAGCCTAAATATAACAGATCTAAGCAAATCTGGGCAATATAACAGATTTAGGCAAATCTAGGCGGATAAAATTAACAGATCCATATTCTCGGCATATATGGGAACCGTACTTGGGAATCACGCATACCCGGGACTGGATTTGAACGCATTAGGACCTATGTAGACGGGGAACATCTCCCTAAAATTCCAGTTTTCTAGCTTTTCAGGTTCCCGAGTTAGCCACTTATCCCAAAAAATACGCTTAAAGTCCATACATAAAATATATGCATACATAAAATTCTTGCTGGAACAAATCAAGAATAACTTTCGACAAAAGTTATAAAAATCCCGTCCGTTATCACTTTTTACAATGCGCATAAGCAAAAGGACAGTGTTTCCAGTGATAGTATTTTGCCAAGAGTTCCATGTGCGGTAAAACTATCAGTAACTTTCTTCGCAGAAAATTGCTGAGAAGCCAACGGAGGGCAACTTTGACCCATGGCCATAGAAGTGAAGATCAGTTTACCGCAAACGCGAATCAAGGTATCGCAGAGGGCTTGGCGGATCTAACAAAACAAAAAGCGATTCAATAAAATATAGAGGGATTGTCGAATCCGACAGGACCCAAAATCGAATTTTCCAAGAGATATCTAATTCCAAAACTGCAATTAAAACCATTGGTACTTTCTTAAACTTCCCAAAAAAAGGAAAATCCAAATCACCTGATTCGTAATTTCTAAAGTAGTCGGATTATACGTTGTCACAGCCAATGTACCAAACGAAAATATGCGTTTGTACCTGCAAAAAAAAAAACAGTGATTCAAAATTTAAAACGGCCAGAAATTTGTAAAATATATTTAGAAAACATAAAACAAAACCCATAGAAAAAGTGATAAACTTTGAAAAGAAGGCGAGTCAAAAAATGAGTCAAAATCACTTGAAAGACATACACTAAAAAAATCTAACATACAAAAATCTGAAAAAGCTGAAGTCTGAAAAAATCTGAAAAAAGACATACACCAAGAAAAACATACAGCAAAATCTTTAGAAAATGTGATAAACTTCGATCAAAAAAAAAAAACGCTGAAAAATATGAAAAAATGTAAATTCTCTAATTGTCATTTTCCTTACCTTCTTTTCGCATTCTTCTCTTTTTTCTCATTCCTTCTTATTATAACTTTTTCTAAAATCATTTCTAAACAGTTTTTTTCAAAGCAAAAATTTTTTTTTGAGAAAACAGAAAACTTACTTCCCCTTCCATGAATGTTTGGTTACCAAGAAACAAGC